TTTTTAACGAAATCGAATCCTTGAAATAAAATCGGACTTTCCCATCGCTATTGTTAACTGAATCACGCGTCAGAATTTTGTTCTCTGACAGTGATTCTCGTTAATCTCACTGACGGATTCTGTTCTCTGATTGAAATTCTCCGGTGAATGCAACATTTGCGAATTTTATTTTCTAAAAATGCTCTCCCTCTCTTTCTCCCTCTCTTTCTCCCTCTCTCTCTCTCTCTCTCTCTCTCTCTCTCTCTCTCTCTCTCTCTCTCTCTCTCTCTCTCTTTCTCTCTCTCTCTCTCCCTCCCTCCCTTCTTTACACACATATACACACACACACACATTTTATTTTTATAGAGTTAAATCTTAATATAAAACTAGTCGGATAATCGAAACTGTAGCACAGTAGTAACCATCTACGCTGTTACTAAAGCTAATGAAATTTAATATTATAAAATCACGATAATTCAAGAATTTTCAAATTTACTTGCTAATTACTATAATTATATAATTTTGAGATTGCGAGCCGTAGTAAATAGATTTTAAGCTGAAAGACTCACAAAGCATAGAAAATAATGAATGTCGAAGAGAATCTCATGTTCATAAGTGGCTGTGGGTAGAAAAAACTTTTTCGATAATACAAAAATCTTTTGTTTTCATTATAACATTAAACTTCAGATCCCCATTTACTTTCTCTCTGATCCACCTTCTTTATGTTAAACAAGATTGTGCTTAGAGGATTAATCAAACTTGATTGTACATCCTGAGGATGTCTTGTCTCTATCAAGATTGGACGATCAACGAACAGCATTACGCGCAGATGCACTATACATGGTGTCGTCGAATACTTTGGACAACAGTGTGCGTCCAAAAGAGAGGGAAAGAAAGAGGAGGTGAAGGGATGAAGAAGGGAGAATTATAGCATTCTTCCGATTGAAGCAATCTGGACCACTCCGGCAACAGTTTTTACGAGCTCGCATTCAATTAACCACGCACGTGACATATCCAACAAGAGAATGCTAAATATTTATATTTCGACTCGATATTTTACGTTATTTTTTTTTTCTTTTTTTACGTTGTAATCAAACCCAAATTCAGACATTTTCGTTTGGAATACGTATAATATCCCAACAAAAAAGCCGACGTTATTTATCATCACTTAAACGTCAAAATGACGATAAATAACGTCAGCTTGTTTGTTGGGATATGAAAAAAATAGAATAAAATTTATTGTCTGAAAAATAAAAATTCGAATTATTGAAATTGCGTTTTTCATTTTACAATGAATAATCGAACATATCTACTCCGTGATTTAGATTATCGGTAAGAAAATGTATCGAATTATAAGTAATATTCTTAATCTTATTATTGTGTGAGTGATTCACTCTTAATTGTGTGAAATCTGTAATCAGCTGCTTAATTAAACCGGCCTTCCATCTCGATATCTCGTTCCCGGACAGATCCGGATCGTTTCGGGATAGAGATCGCCGACGGCGAAGGAGAGACGTGTGAAAATGAGAGAGTGTGAAAAATTGCTACATACCTAAATCTTCAAACTCTTCCCGGCTCTCTCCGATCGCAGACGCGAAGTCGCGGCGGACTATTCATTCGTCGTCGCTCAAGTATCTATAGTTAGGAACGATCGCATCGCGGGGGGTTATTGCAGAACGCTCGTCGACCTGAGACCTGAGACCTACGTGAGAAACACGACATAGAAAACCCGTGTGAATCCCCTGTATATTGTATGTGTGCGTATGTGTATATGCGTGCGCGCGTGCGGCTTTACGCTCGGCTCAGCTCGGCTCGCCGCGCCGATCGTTGTACGCCGCGGCCGCGGCCGCGGACGCCGCGGAATCGAGAACGGAAAATCGATCGACTCGCTGTATGTGCGTATGTGTGCATTTGCGTGCGTATGTACAGTTTACTTGTATGCTTGTGCGTACGTATTTGCATTCACACCGAGCGTTCAAGGGGTGATACGCGTACTGTCGACAAAGTACAGCACTGTGCTCACGTCGGAAATACAAGAAGCCAATGGTAAGACTTTTTATTGTCAACGAAATTGTTCCGAGATCTTCAGGTGGAGAAAGAATTGACCAATCACATTGTAATTTGTCACATGTAATTTGTTAATTTTTCTCCGCCCGAAATCTCGGAACGATTTTACATTGAGAAAAAATACTAAAATTTAATAAATATTTGTTTGAGTAGTAAGAGTACTATAACTTAACATTTACTTACTA